TCGGTGGGTTCGTCTAACATTTGAAGTGCATGTAGGTTGCGTAAAATAGTGTCTATTAATTTTCTAATTTGAGTAGTTGACTCTTGTTTGATAGGCATAACATTAAATAGGGCTTTTACGTGATTATTAATTAAAAGTCTGGTATTGTGGAACCTGTTCTCTAATAGATCCCATGCGTGAATATAGTTAGCTGCAGTAAATTCTAGTGAGCTAATAACTAATTTTGCATTACCAATTAGTGACGAACGTAGGTAGTGGAATTTTTGTATGTTATTTAGATCAGATCGTTCGTGAATCATAGTAACGTACGAATTTTTGAATTCTAGCCAGTGATCGTATGACCCATCGAATAAAGGCAACTTGATTTCGGGCAATTTTACGTTTGTAACTGCCAAACAGTTTGAATTTTGGGTAATGTTAGGCTCGTTCACTGTGATAGAACTATCCATCAAGCAGTTCGCGTTAGCCATACCACTGAAATAAATAGATTCTACGGTTTCAACGTACTCATTTTCACCATCGATTTCACTATCTGCTGAATGGAGCTCAATATCACTTTGGACCGAAATAATTTTTTGGAAAATGTCACTTGCCGCTTGAATACGTAACTTCATCTCAGCTAACTGAATCTTATTTAAATTAGCGCCTAAGAAGGAGTCAACATATTTCTTAAATTGCGTCAATTTACCCTTCAAAATTCCTCTTTGCTTTTTGAGACTCGTAATAACGTCTACAGCTTTTCTTTTAGATGGTGAAAGGGGAGGAATAGATAAATTTCCGTTAGCACTGTCGGTCATTTTGGCAATCAATTAGAAAAATAAAGGTAGTTACGTGCAAATATAACTGTGTTAGTACACAATTAACTCCTAACTCGCGAATAATAACGTTTAGATAAACACGATTTTAACACAATTTGAATAAGGATTAGGAAATAAAACAGGATGATCAACCAACCGTTACTGGAGATAATATCTTCAAAATCCTCGCATTCTTCGATGTTGCAGTCGTCTATTTCTGCTCGAAGACCAAAATGTTTGGGACAGTCAGGTCTCCTATCTAATGATGAACTCGTATACTTGATAAGACGTTTAATTTCGTATAAATTACAGTAAGTTGAATAAAAGGAAAAATCGTATGCGTATTGTGCGCCGTATAAAATTCGAATGCGCGGGTCTTCTTCGTGGCTTCTTTCACCCGTTACGTTTCGTTTTTCGTCGTTGTGCAAATTGGAGACACAAGCGTCGACAGTTTTTTTTCTTTTGCTTTTATGTTACGTTTTTTTTAATTATCTATGTTTTAATTCGAAACATCTGCAAGAACCCCTCCACAGGGGAAGGCCTCCTCCAAAGTAGTCCATTTTTCTGTATCTCGGACTATTTGTATTCAGTGTGGGCCAGGGTTTTTGTTTCAACGCTCTTCTGCTAGTCTAGCTACATGCCCCACCTATTTCCATTTTAGTATTTGGGAACAGTTAATAGGTAGCTATAGTTACGTTCCTTATGTTTACGTGGCGTATGTTTTGGATTTTCTTAATATTTAGTTTCGTTCTAGGCCTCGTTGGCAAATGACATTTTTTTTATTAAGTTATTTTAGCTGCCTAATTTCAAACTTAATTCCGAAAAAAAGCAAATCTGAGGTAGTTCGAGTATTTATAGAATCTATCAAATTAACGTATTTTTTATGTTACATATAAGTACACTTCTGGACACATCTATTGGCCCACCTTGTATTTTCAGTTTCGTTTGGTCCTAGCTAAAATTTTATATTTGGTCGAGCAAAAAGTTTTTATGCAGTTTTGAACCTCGCACATTCACAATTTCATTCAATAGTCTTTTTTTGAATTTCGAACACAGAATTTAAAGAAATAAAAGACAATTTGGAGCCTGTTTGTTGATATCAAACAATCGAATACTAAGAAAACTTGGTTATATTGGTTTACTTGGATTTAATTCTTGAAAAAGTGATTGATATCTTTGGTTTTGCAACAAACATTACTTATTCTTAACATTAAGGTGAGGTTCTATCAATAATCTATGGATACTTCACCTGAAGTCGCCGCTCAAGCTGTGGCACTTATTCAGGCCGGACACAGCCAAAGAAACGTGAGTGCTCAACTTAATTTAAGTCGATCTGCGGTCCGAAATGTTTATCGGAGGTACCTAGAGACTGGCGGCTTTGTTCGTCGCCAAGGAAGGCCACGATCTCGGGTCACAACTGAAAGGCAGGATCGATTCATCGTGACGACCAGCTTGAGAAATCGTCACCTTACCTCCATTGAGATACAAAAACAAATTCGCGACTTCCACGGAGTATCTGTGAGCGCTAGAACTGTTATGAAATCGGAGAAGGTTAAAAGAACGCGATATGTACCACACAAGCCAGTTAATGGGCCCAAACTAACGCGAGACGACCGAACAGCGCGCCTTCATTTCGCACGCAGTCATTTAAATTGGACACAGCAAGATTGGAGCCGTGTACTCTTTTCTGATGAGTCTAAAATTGTGTTATATGGCAATGATGGAAGGAAGAAGGTCTACCGACGTAAGGGAGAGCGTCTCGCACAATGCTGCTTTGAAGAGAGGGTTGCTTATGGCGGTGGCTCATGGACTGTCTGGGGTGGTTTATCCGCGAGCGGCAAAACTCAACTTGAAGTTGTTACAGGACCACGGCTGCCAACATTAAATGCTGAAAGGTACATTCGTGAGTGCTTAGAACCTCACGTGATACCATGCGCGGACTATGTGGGCCCAAATTTCCTTTTTATGCATGATAATGCAAGAGCCCATGCGGCCGGCATCGTCAGGGAATATCTTCGGGATGTGAACATCACAGTTATGGACTGGCCAGCCAGAAGCCCAGACATGAACCCCATTGAGCACATGTGGGACGAGCTAAAAAGACGTGTTAGGGCTCGTCAGCCAGTTGCCCAGACGATGCAGGAGTTGAAAACTGCCATAGAAGAGGAATGGGAGATGATCCCTCAAAATTTCATAGAGCGGTTGATAAACTCTATGCCTAATCGTATGAGAGCTGTGGTAGATGTCCATGGTGGCAACACGCGTTATTCAATTAAACCTTTATTTGATAAAACATGTTTTTTATTCAAAAATCAATTACCTTTAACAAGGCGCATATCCGACTTGTTAGGCGTAGCTCCATGTCGTATGGTATTCTGAATTCAAATTTAAAACAATACGATCGAAAAAGATGGTAAAATGTATCAGGTTTAAAACTGCATCAACAGTTTTTGTTCAATCTAGCAATCATATTTCGGTAGGGGCTATCGAAATCTAAACTCTAAGGTGGGCCAATAGATGTGTCCAGAAGTGTATTTTCTTTAATAGAGTATTCTATAATATAAACAGTATGTTTAGATTGAGATTGGATACTGATGTGCACAGCTTAAAACATATTAATGCTACGAAATAACAATGAGATTGCTACGAATATAATTATGCTACGACTAGACGCTACGGTCGACTGTAGGGCTCCCATATATAACTGCGAATTCGCATCGTATGGAAAATATCTATGAGCTCGCACAAATGCACCGCAATAACTTTAGCGTTGACCGTTTTTGCGCAGAAGTAAAAATCAAGATGTCTTGGGGGAAACGACGTGCGCGGTAGGGCGTACGTTGCGCCGATTGGCTCTTCAGTCGTATCTATCTACCCCCTTCGTGTTTTGTTCAGCACTAGAGTTACGTGCCGCGACCTGTATTTGAGAGTAAAATAGTTCCCATCAGCGTTCATCATCGTAATAAATGGATGAACCCAAAATCAGCCTTATCTTCTATATATATTTTACAACAACAGCAGTACAACAATCTTTTTCCAGCCCATGTCACTATTACTAAAACACGTGCAATACGGCTGACTACTGTTAAAAGTATGGTCACTTTAACCAAAGCTTTGCCGCACGAAATCGTAATGCAGCAATTCATTTCGCAAGTTCTTGCGATGCGTCGTATCGCATCGTATAGCAGTTTTGTGTGAGAGTCCTTAAATCGACAGTATTGTTTATTATAAAATTTTATTTAAATATCCATTAACCAAGAAAATATACTATTTGTTTCTGCAAAGAGTAAGGTTTCCAGGTGTCCAAGGGTCAGGGTAGGCATAATAATTATAATAATCGTTTATTTGTTAAAATATGGTTTCTTTACAATAGACGTTATTTCATTAATTTCCAGCATATTTAGTTAAATGTTAATATGCAAATATTACAGGATATAAAGGCAACACGCAGGAAATAGTCTGAAAGCAAGGGTCATGTAGGCAGTAGGTAGTATTTGCCAACCTTAATACTTACAATAACGATACGATCTAAACTTTGTTGATCAAAGGATCTAAAAGTAAAAGTATTAAACTTTTGGGTTCAGAACCCTTAAAATAATATAATCGCCTTAAACGCTTTTAAAATTTGTACGGCTTTAAAAAATGAAATTGGTGAACGTAATAAAAAAGAAATTTTGTTCTACAGCTTTCATCGCTTTTCCACAGTAAAAAAAATACCATTGTATTCAAGTTTCTGTTGTTCCTCCGAACTTACTTATACCATAAAAAGTGTTAACTTTGTACTAAGTTGGTGCGTATTCATTTGTTTGGGTTACTTTTGTATATTTTCATCTTAACATTGTCTTACTTCGGTGAACGTAGTTATTTTTCGACAAATATTATTTAAATTTGAACGCAAGTCAAGTTTTGTTAGCTTGTTTTCCAGATTTCACGCACTTCTTTGAGAAGCTAGATGATGCAAGTGTTTAGCGCATTCGGTCTGCTACCGTTGAACTTAAGCCACCGGCCACTGCAAAATGGCCAATCATTGGATGGGTGACCAAAAATGTATTATCTCGAGCTCCTCCAGGTTTTGGAAGGCACGTAAAAAATTCGCAGTCGTTAATACCCTCCAAGGTCATGGTTCAATCTTCTTATTCCATCTATAGGGGAGGCTTGTGCCCCCACAGTGGGGACATTAATAGGCTGATGATGCTAACTAACCTTCTTGGCGACGTTGAGCTTGTGCTGGCGCAGGAACTTGGCCTCGTCTGCGATCTGCTGCTGGAACACCTCGACGGCAGCGAGGCGGGCGCGTGCCAACTTCTCGTTCTCCTCCAGCACCGTGCGCCACACGTTCCACATATTCCTGTGACGTCATGCAATATCAGGCAACATCCGATCAGAAAAGGCTGTACTTGTTAAGTTCGGCAGTAGATACGTCACATTTTTTTGTTGAAAAGGTCTCTTGAAGAATTATTTTTCTGACGCTTCGCCGCCCGTTGCTGCGGCACGCTCGCTTCGCTCGCTTGGCTCGCGCGTATTGATCATAACACTAACTAGAAGTTACTTACATTTTTTTTATTTTAAATATGAACTTAGGAGTTCAGTTTTAATTTCGATATGTGTCAATAAAATATTGTGAAGTGTGAACTCCGGGCGCAACAAATAGTGTTTGGCCGGAGATTCGTCCAAACTGTACTCCTACAAGTGACTGGTAATTATGTGACACAGCAAAACGCCACAGATAAAATTTAAAGCATTCTATAAAGACTATGTATAACAGCGCCGGCCGCACGTCATATAGGGCGTCATACATTTTGTGAAGACCATCCCTTTTACTATGATCACCAATTCACCACCAACCAATATCTGAATCACAGGCGTAGAAGTAACGTCACTTTGTCGGTATGAAATAATTAAGAATCGTAATTTAAAAGGATCGATGAAATATGATTACCTAGTTAAGTCTAAAGATGACCGTTTTCATAATACGAAAAATCTTACCTACTTAAAAAAGCGGATCATTATTCGAAAATAAGAATGTAATGACGAATCATTAGTATCTATGATAGTGTTTTTTGTTCCGTTTTGTTTGTTAAGTAATCGTATATCATTATTTTTACACATTGATTTTATTTGGATTTTATAAACTATTTTGTATCCAATGTAACAAATTTGAACTAGTGTCCATCGTCTTGAAAGAGGATCTGATTGATCGTAGATGTAAACTTAGGATGTACACAAGAAATAAGTTTAAAAAAAAAATGTTTAAGCATTTCACTGTTAGATAATTAAATCTAAAGAAATTTTTACTAGAAAAAATCTACGCGGACCAGGCAGCAGACGAGACTCGAACCCTCTCTCTTCTCTATCCGGGCGAATGCACAGACCTTTATGCCGTGGCTCTGGCGGCCGTGTCGAATTTTCTCTAGCCTTTCTTAGGCTGCAAGGCACCGCCATCTCTTTGTACACGCCAAACCACAATTTTTATTTTTTGTTTATTAATAAAATTAACACAAGATTAAGTTTACAGTTTCGTTTGTTACGAGTGCTATACGTTAAATTGTGCTCTGCCTTTGCAAACTATTCTGTAAACTATTTAAATTTTGTATGTAAATTAACTCTTATATTTTTAATGGTGTACACTTGGAAGCATCTGTTTCATCTACAGCAGCATTACTTCTTCAGCATTACTACAAGCCTTGCATTAACCGAATTCATAATATTAAATCAGATAAAGTTCTACTCGCTTTGGCATCATCTTAAAACTAAATAGGTTTTTCATAAATAAAGTCATAATTATGCATCAAATGAACACAAACATATCTATAATGCATGATATTGTTCATATCTATAAGTAGTTAAGTTGATATAAGTTAATGATGATTATACGTTGTGCTTTCATAATATTATTGTCAAAATACACTCTTCGTTGGTTACACTTTTAAGTTTCTACTGTCCAAAGTCAAAGTCAAAGCTTTGGGCAGTAGAAAATTAAAAGTTGAACAGGTCCTTTACATTAAATTATTTGATAATTGAAACCCCGAACTTGTTTTGACTGTGATAAAAGTCGTGAGTATTGTGGATATCCAAAACTGTCACCGCCACATTAGTCAAAATTTACAACAGTTAAACTAGGCTTAAATTTTAAAAATAGAACATATTTTTATATAATTAACAATACGAAGCCTTAATGAAAAAGCGCTTTTTAAGGCACATTTCGTTATTACGCAATATAAGCGAAATGTGTCATTCTCCTTTTAAAATGGATTTTTAACCATTGTATGTCTGTCATTTCTAAGAATGAATGTATATTTACGAAATAAATTTGAAATCAATTTGAAATTAAAAGTAAGGATAGCTCTATATAGACAATCGCTTTCGCACAATAAAAAAAGGCCAAACAAATAGTGTTCGCAAATAACCCCAATTAAAGCTACAGCATCATGTTCTTTACTCGCATAAAAATAATGGATGCGTTCGCCAAGCAATGATTGCAAGCTTTCAAAAGAACAGCTCGATTTCACATTTTTTTTAAAGTTTTTCCCGGAAGCACCAGCAAAAACAAGCCATTCATTTAAAAACGTTTAAAATAAACGATTAAAAAACATAAAAAGTTTCAAGTAAAAATTGATTTTCAAATGAAACCTACTGTATAAAATCTCTTATCTATTAGATAAGTCCGTCCGTCTGTCTGTCTATGGTGCTGTTTCAGCGGCCAAACCGTAAGAGATAGATAAAGAGAATATTTAAGTTATAAGTTAAGAATAGTCTGATAAGACTACAAACCGGATTTGAGTAACGTAGCACTTCCGGTTTTCGAGAAATCACGAATTTCAAACGAAACCACACAAAATCTCCGAAGTTCTCAATTAATTAAATACTTTTTTTTAAAATAAATCAGGTTTTGGTCAATATTTGGTTCACTGGTTTGCTAGTACGAATTATTCTTTTACCGCTTTTTTGTTTTAATTTGACACTCGTAAAGTTTTTTAATTCGAAACTGCAACTTTTTTGTTTAATACAGTACCAAGTAGGTATTGCTTACGAAGTATTAACAAAACTTTTAAGAACTCGGTTTTTTTCGTACCACTTAGATTTCTTGAAACTTGAGTGTAATTCTGTTACAGTAAAAATCATTTTTTAATAGCCGTCATGAAAATACTGTCCAGGAAAATGTGAAAAACGTACACGTTTTGTTAACTATAGTTTCTTAGGTTTTCACGCACATCACTCATTAAATAAAACTAGTTTTTACGGGTTAATGCACGAAACTTTATTTATTTATTGACGTTTCGCAGCCTTTTCAGGTCTGCATCGTCAGAATAATGATTTTATTTAAAATTGTCGAGCTACCTTCGAAAGAATTATGACAAAAAGGTAGCTCGACAATTTTAAATAAAATCATTATTCTGACGATGCAGACCTGAAAAGGCTGCGAAACGTCAATAAATAAATAAAGTTTCGTGCATTAACCCGTAAAAACTAGTTTTATTTAACTATAGTTTCGTCGTAGTGGCATATCATTTGACAACCGAGAAATGTACTGGGCCCAGATCAAGCTTGGATTCATAGACGGATGGTCAAAGAGATACCTGACTCGCTGACATTGATACCTACAACGATTTAAGTGGACAAATGGGAAAAAGATGCCAAAATTTTCCTTAAATTATGAATTACTTTACGATCCGGTGTTGATTTCTTTCTTCGTAAGTCTATTTCTTTTTGTTTATGTACGATTATAATTTTAAAATTTTAAATGAGCTAAAACCCTAGAGTAAGATACATATTAAGAATTTTTTATAAGAAAAAAATCCACGTTGTCCAGGCACCAAACAGGTTGAAATTGAAAAAAAAAACCTGTTGAATAAATAATATATGAATTTGATTCCGAGTACAGGCCGTTTTTAATACCGTTAGAAATGAGTTACGTATTTTTTTACGCTATTTGTACTCAAATTAACAATGACGGAGTGTTTGATGTATGATTAGCTAGGAAGTTATATTCCTAACTGAGATACTAACTGGAAAGTGAATGATGAAGAACGTAACTTCGTTGGTTGTTAGTTTTTTCGTCTAGCCGCAAAATAAATTAAATTAGCATGTGACAACGACAATAACGTGGTTCGTTTTCGCCTTATTTCTTGATAGCTGAAAAAACAAATATCCTTAACTGTGTGGTAGGGGGGCGGCGGATTAGACGATTCGAAAGAGTTGTATTACGCAATCAATTTGACTTTGACTATATGAAAAAACAACAATGCTCTTTATTTCGTAATTTTGTTAAAGAAAATTTAATTTTGTTAAATAATAAGATTTAAACAAAAAACATTTAAACATTGAGACCTTAAAAAATCAGAGGTACAAACCATTCTTTTACCTTTTTTAACGGTACATGAGTATGTTACTTTTTCCTTCTCTTGTTTGGGTAACAATAGCGTAATTTTTCATTATCAGAGTGCACACACGGGGCGCATAAACAGCAGACCGTAACATCAAAGTTAGTTTAGAAACTAACCCCCTGTAATATATTAATTAACATGAAAACTATCCCAACTTCCATGCAATTCTACTTCACAGAGAAGGTAGCACACCTTCTAGTGGTTTATATCGTTTGGCTGAATAATAAGTATTTGAACTATATAAACAAGCACAAATTCACATATGCCATGTTACTGCAAAAGATTTTGAATCCTAATTGCCTAAAAAAAGTCCTCCCCCCCCCATTGACTTGAAAAACCTGGAAAAATTCATGATAATAGTGCTGTTCATGAATTTTTAAGGAAAACTATAACGGTTAAGATAAATTTGTTAGTTAAAGAGCAGTAGTCGTTCAACTTTGGAATTTCTTACCTATTGAAAATTCCTTAGAAGAAAATATTAAAAGTGACATAGATGAGGTAATTGTAACATAAAATTAAAAAAAAACTATTGAAAAACTGCAGTAAAATATATTTTTTATAAAATATATTTTACTGCAGTAAAATATATTTAGTTCCACAACGCTACCGCGAGTACCAACGGCTTGTGAGTCGCGCTAACGTTACGTTTTAAGAAAATGTATATAAGCACTTGAAAAGATCGGCGGTAGAGGTGGGTCGTCGACGTATTTTTCGTCGACGAAACTAAACCGTCCACTACCGTCCATTGACTAGTCGATCAACTAGTTTAATTCTTCAACTAGTTGACGTGATAACGGCAAGCGTTGAGGGGTTCATATCAACTACGCGGTGACTGGTCTACGGGCGCGACGCAACGACGACGACGGGGTCTTTATTTAGTATTCACTTTACATTATAGTCTTTTAAATCTTTACCAAATAAATTACAAATTAAACTCATAAAATAATCATTCAATTCAAACGAA